GGAGCCCGATGCGGGACTCGATCCCAGGACCCTGGGATCATGACCTGAGCTGAAGGCAGTCGCTTAACCAACTGAGCCACCCAGGCGCCCTCCCTGTGATTCTTGTGCCCCCAGTCCTTGGTCAGAGAGCCCGCTGGGGGCTTCACAGAATGGCCTGTAGGGACAGTTTGTCCTGTGTATCAGACGGCCTCCAGATGTCAGTGTCTTACTGCAACGGGCGTCTCTTTTGCTCTCTCCTAGTCTGTGGGTCTGCTAGGTGTCTGGGCTGCAAGCTGTGGTTTTGGTTCGGGTATGTTCTGCATGTCACTCCTTCTCCTAGGGTTAGCAGCTGCTCATGGCAGATGACAAGCACAAGAGGCCAAATCAAGCCACACGAGCACATTTAAAGCCTCCACTCACATCATGTCTGAGAATATTCCATTGACTGAAGCCAATCACATGGCCAGGCCCAACACCTACTCTAGAGGGTGGTGCTGTGAGGTCACATGGCAAACACACATGGATGTATGATTCTAAAATAAGGGTGGAGAGAAGAATTGGAAACATAATCCAGGCTCCCACAGGCTTTCTCCTGGAATGGCCTTGACCCCAGATAGCCAAATCGTTCTTTGTAGGAGGAGCAGGTAACCACAGGGGAGAGGTGGTATTCTTCATGCTAGAGATAGAGGCCCCTACTCAATCAACCAAGAGCTGAGACTCCCCCAGCTGCCCTAGCCCGCCCAGAGAATGGCACACAGTATTTAGGACCGCCGTAAAGGATCTGTCCATCATCCATCTGTACATACGTACATACATACATGCACCTATCCATCACTCATCTATTTGTCCATCATCTATCCATCCATCATTTATCTATTATCCATTAGTCTGTCATCATCCATCCATCATCCATCCATCCATCCATCCATAAGGTGTGGTAGTTGATGGAATGGGCTCTGGAGCCAGATTGCATGGGTTGGAATCCTGGACCTGCTGTTTACTGGTTGTATGATTATAGGCAAATTAATTATGTGTCTCTTTTGTACCTCAGTTTCCTCATCTATAAAATGGAACTAGTATTCTAACCTATTTCATGAGGCTGTTGTAGGGATTTGATGCTGTAAGATTAGATGCTTAGAATAATGCCTGACACAGGGTAAGTGTATTCAATCGTACTAGCTAGTATTGTCAACAAACAATTATTTGGCATCTACGGTGCCAACTACTTTGCTTTAGGAGCTGGGGGTGGGAGATGGTGTGCTGGGAGCAGAGGGGCCGCCTAATGCCTAGAGTAGCATTCTCAAAGAGAGGTCCGTGGGCCTCCTACACCAGAGCCCCCTAGGGTGTGAATGTTAGGAGTGTGGGTTCTGCGCCCACCCCCAGGCCCTCTTGACAGAAATCTCTGGGAGTGGGCTCTAGGCATCCACATTTTCGCAAATTCCCCTGTGAGTCTTACGCACACTGAAGTGTGAACAGCAGCAGTCAAGTCTGGGAAACAGAGGCAAGGAGAGCTAAAAGCAGTCCACAGCCGAATGAGAGGAATGGAATTGCAGAAGCATTTGGAAAGTGCTTGCCTGGACACCCACAAGTGTCCAGGGCCTTTAAAGGAGAAGCAGACCCAGGGGGGAGTGATGCGCTGACAGGTTGGGAGGGTGTTTGGGTCAGGGGGTCCTGCAGGAGCGGAGCCACAGAGATATGAGAGTTCCTGGCTTGGGGGAGGGACGGAGGGAGCCTGATGGGGCTGGAAGATATTCCGTGAACTTTCATGAAGCACCTCCTCTGGTCCAAGCACTGGGCTAGGTGCTGGGGGGCAGATGCCCTGCTTTTTTGCAGAGTCTTCTGGCCAACAGGGAGATGGCCAGAATGCAGAGAGAGAGAGGAGACTCAAAATGCAGTGAGAAGTCAGGTACCGTCGAGCCCTACTGTCCGCACTGTCCTTAGCCTGGAGCACTTCCCACTCAGGAGGTCCTGACCACATTCGGAGCTGAGACATGTGGACCTAGGAAAGGGTGCAGAGCCCAGGCCCGGGTTTGGAGCCCTCCCTGGCCTGACACAGCGTAATTTCAAAAGAAAGTTGATGAGTGTTTGATGGGTTCGTTGAATTAACCAGTAAATAAGCACTGACCATGTGCAAAAATGGGTGGTAGGCACTGGGGGGATGAGAAGGGTAATACCACAAGATAATTAAACTCAAACCTTGGAGTCAGATCTGGGTTTGAATTCTGGCAATACCATAATCTCTCTGAGTTTCATTTGCCAAATAAGGATGGTGATACCTTCCTGCAGCTGGATGTTTTGGCTGCAAGTAACAGGGATCCCCAGCTCAAACCAACTTACACAGCGGAGAGAAACTGCTCTCACGTGGTATAAAGTCCAGAGGTGGGGTTGTCTCCAGGGGCAGAAAGAGGCTCAGTGACTCAGTGATGTCTCTGTCCACTGCCATCCTCTGCATTGTTTTCCCCTCAAGCCTGGGTCCCTCATGGTCACACAGTGACTGCCAGGGGCCATGGGGGCTGCAGGCTTCCTTGGCCACATCCAGCAGGAGAGAGTGAGAGGTTCCCCAACTGTGAATTACAAGTCTGTTCAATCTCCTTGGGCCCACATAAATTATACAGTAACTGCTGAATCAATGCCAATTGCCAAGAAATGCTAAGCTTTGATAGGCTTAGACCAGTGGTTCTCAAACATTGGCATGCATTAGGATCATCTGGAAGCCTTGTTAAAACAGATTGCTGGGCCCCAAGCCCAGAGAGTCTGGTGCATAGGTCTCAAGTGGGACCCAGCAAAGTTGTGTTTACCAGTTTCCAGACGATGCTCATGCTGCTGGTCAGGGGATCAAACTTGGAGACCAGTGGCTTAAGCTCAGCAGAATGGGGATGGGGTCCAATGGTGGGCAAGCCTGGATCATAAATACAGGAGTTGTGTGAAGAAGGATGATAGGGAAATAAATGTATCATAGATGCTGGTAGACCACCAAGAGTGCATATTATCTTGTTGTATTGTGATGGTTGCATTTTACACGACACACAAAGTGCTTGGCACTTAGTAGGCACTCCATAAATAATAATAGCTCTCACCCTTGCCAAAGTGCACGTGTCCATTCCATTTCAATTCAGGAAATACTGTGAGTACTATCGGCCCCTGCCTCAGTGGACTTCTGATTTAATAAGAGACGTTTTAAAAAACAATCAAACTACTATTCCAAGGCACTCAGTGTTAAAAGACTCAGAGGAGAGATAATATGGTATGGACAGAGGTAATTAGGGAAGGCTTCCTGGAGGAGGGAGTAAGACAGGGAGCAAAAATGTGGCTTCTCAGCCCTGGCATTTTGCAGAGGGGGCTCTGCCCATTCTCCAGTCCTTCTCCAGCATGCCTTTGACCTTGCCTCCCCCTCTGAGGGCATCATCGCTGGGAAGTTTTTGAGTGGGCGTGGGGAGGCATACGTGGGAACAGCTGCAGAGTGACCGAAGATGTGGTTTCCTGTGTCCCCTGCCTCCCACCCCAGGTTCATTTGGCGGACAGTGACACCACGGGACAAGCCCATGGGGCCCCTGCTGGTAGCCACATTCTGGCCTGAGCTCCCGGAAAAGATCGATGCTGTGTACGAGGCCCCGCAGGAGGAGAAGGCTGTGTTCTTTGCAGGTGTGTGGGAAGGGTTCTGCCTTACCCTCGGCTCCCCGGGGCTCTGCACCATGGTTCCTGTGTGCCTGCGGGTGCTCCCTCTCCTTCCGGGATCTCTTCTTTCAACCATCAGTTCCAAAAGCGTGGGCTTCATCTGGGAAATTGGCTCAGACACCCAACATCAAACAGCAGTAGGCCACAGAGTGAACGTTCCACTACCTTTTAATTTTCAATCCTTCTAATTCCTCTTCTAGAAGGAAAATCACAGTTTAGTGCCGTTATGTCCGGCACTAAAAAGTGTCTCTTAACACTTTTCTAATGCTAGAGCCTTTGGCAGACAACAATTTTAGCCAGAACTTTTTAAAAGGGGATGACATTTTTAACATCCCAAATAAATTTATTTCCAAAAAAAGAAATAATTTATTTCTATGGAGTTCAAGATGAATTCCTTAAAAGCAAAATATGAAGTAAGTAATAGCACAGAAAGTCTCCGTAAGTGGTAAAAATAATCAAGGTAGGGTCACGTGGCCAACATTTGGGAAACCCTGTGCATCCAGCATTGATCTGAACCTACAGTGTGCCAGGGATCCAGGCCCTGCCCTCCCGGAGCTCACAAGCTAGGAGGCTATGGCAGGAGAGGGAGGACGGACAGGAGCCTGCCCTGGTCTGAGGTGTGGGCACAGGGACGGTTTCCTGGGGCAGCCAAGGCCTTGGCCGCATAACAGGTACACGTTCTACCAGCCGGCTCCCCACATCCTCCATCCCAGAGCGGTCCTGGGCTGTGGCGCCAGTTAAGAGGTCTTCGTGGCAGACGTTGCCCTTAGCATCCGTGGCTTGGTGAGTGAGCAAGGGCTGGAGGCACCCCACCGCCCCCACTCACCTCCTCGGCCAGGCAGCTTCTGTAAGCAGTTGGTAAAACCGTATACCCGAGTCCTGATTCTGGGCACCGAACTGGAAGTGAGCGGGACCCCGTGTCCCTGTTGAGAATGGCCACAGTGGGGTCCCCGATAGACAGATGACGGGAGGAACAGACCAGGCTGAGGGATTTCAGCACCAGCCGCCAACACACCCTTTGCTTCTGCCCCAGGCAATGAATATTGGGTCTATTCAGCCAGCACCCTGGAGCGAGGGTACCCCAAGCCGCTGACCAGCCTGGGGCTGCCCCCTGATGTTCAGCGCGTGGATGCTGCCTTTAATTGGAGCAAGAACAAGAAGACCTACATCTTTGCTGGAGACAAGTTCTGGAGGTAAGGGGTTAGCGGTGAGGGCGCGGTGCTGGAGGGGCGGGGGCAGTAGAAAGGAGAACAGCATAGCCAGCCGTGTGGACATGGAGAAGAAGCTCTGTGGTTTCCTGTTTCCTGGGTCGGGGTCGGCGATGTGGGGCCACAGATGCCCCCTCTCTGACCTCTAACCTGCCAGGGCTGCAGGGCCTCCGAGAGGTCCCCAAGTGATGAACATCCTTGTGCACGTTGCTGGTACGGGGCTGGTCAGAACCTCCTTTCCTTCTCCAAAGCCTCCCATCTGGGGGTGACTCGCTGCAAAAGGGGGTAATAAAAATAAAACTAACAGCTTCTACTACTGATGCTATATGCCAGACACTATTTCAAGGGCTTTATGAGATCAGTATTGTTACTCTTGTTCCCATTTTGCAGATGAGGGAACTGGGGTTCAGAGAGGTTAAGTGTCTAGCTTAAAGTCACACAGCCATGTCGTGGCAGGTTGGGATTTGAACCTTGGAATTCTGGCTCCCAGACAACATGCTATTTATTCTTCGCTGTTCTGTACTGTACGGGAGATAGTGGGGTCTTCAGAAAGGGGGTGGTGAAGGCAGGGGGAACAGAGGACAAAATATGATGAAGACAGAGATGGGTGCACCAGCTGCCCTCCAGAGCATCCAAATCGGGCCTCCGGGGAAGCAGCAGGCACCCTCGGGCATGTCTGCCACGGGCCCAGTGTCTGTGGGCCCAGACTCGCAGGGGGCCAGTTCGGAAGCAGGTAGCTTCTAGCTCTAGGTCATCAAAAGGGACGAGTTCAATACCAAGAGGCCACAGTCAGGGCTACAGGTCAGGGAACCCAATATCCAAGAACAGTCAGGGGAAGACTGCCCAGACTTCTGGAGTTTGATTATAACTCTTCGCATTTCCCAGACAAGGAAACTGTGCCCAAAGAAATTAAATAACTTGGTGTATGTTACTTAAATGCAAGTGTGTTGACCACAGAGCCAGGATGATAACCGCATCTCCTGTCCCCTAACCCCACACCCCTCCCCGGTACCCTCAGGGTCATTCGGTCAGTGGGAAGGGATGGGGGGCGCAGGGGCTGATCCCTGCCTTCCTCCTGGGGCTGCTACTGCATCTGGGCCCTTTGTCTGCCATCCCTGGAGCAGTCCAGCTTCCCTCCCGGGCCTCTCTCTTCTGCCCCTTCCCTTCTCCCCATCACCCTGCCCCCAGCTGCCCTGCATTCAGAAGCTGCTTGCCTGTGTCAGGGAGGAATTCCAGACATATTGTTAAGACACTTAGCAGCTCAAGCTGATGGATATCTCAAGCCTCAAGAAGGAACACAGCCAGGAAATCTCGGAGCGGGCTCTCCGCCCACAGGCTCCGGAACACTCCTTAGCACCAGCACGTCCTACAAATGGCATCTCAGTGTGGTAGGCGCCCTGAATCTCCAAATCTTAGAATGTGGACAGTGAGAGGCACAGACACACGGAAGTGTGAATCGCAGAATCAAATCATAAAGACTAGTGTCTACGACTCATGGTATTGGAAGGACTTCTATAATCTCCCTCCAGTGCCCCCTGTGGATGTGAACACATCGGACAGATGTAGCCACGTGTGAACGTGAGTGTGTGTATGCACGCGGGGCTTGGGCCGTGGCAGTGCCTTACTGGGTTTCGGGCAGAGTTACCTGCTTCCCAGTCCCTTTCTGCAACAAGCCCACCTTCCAAAGCTGGGATCCAGGAAGCCCTGCTGTAGGTCAGTGACACTTAAATAAAAGCAGCAGAGCCGAAGGCCTTATCTGAAGCTCAAGAAAGACAGATGGGCCTCCCAAAAGAGGCGGTTGATGAACTCGAGACACTGTTACTGGAGCTGAGTCTGCAGAGGCCCCTGGAGGAGAAGGACAGAGAACCGCTGATGACAGAGGACAAGCATCTGCCTCCAGCCTGGCTTCCCCTAGCTTATGCCAGGGAATACTCAGCCCCTGCTTCTGGAAGCTTCCACGAAGCCCATAAATGTATATTCAATATCTCCTAAGTGCTAGGCACTTACCTGGGTGCTTCTGGAAGGCAGTGGTGAAGAAATAGTCACACTTTTCCTTGTGGAGCTAATGATAGAATGAGGGAAATAGACATATGTGCATTTCACTTTTGTTTCTTATTTAAGGTAGATGGTATTATTAGCCCCATTTTCTAGGTGAAGAAACTGAAGCTGAAGTGTCTCAAGGATACACACCCGTGGAAAAGCTGGGATGCAAGTGTCTGTGGTTTTTGTTTTTTTTTTTTTTTTAGATTTTATTTATTCATTTGACAGAGAGACACAGCGAGACAGGGACACAAGCAGGGGGAGTGGGAGAGGGAGAAACAGGTTTCCCACTGAGCAGAGAGCCCGATGCGGGGCTCGATCCCAGGACCCTGAGATCGTGACCTGAGCCGAAGGCAGACCCTTAACAGACTGAGCCCCCCAGGTGTCCCAAAAGAAACCTTTTAAAAGACAGCCAGCAGGAAGCACTGTAGGAGCCTGGGGACAGAGGGCTAAATGAAGAGCTTCAGGCCCCTGCAGAGCTAGCACCTTCTGTTGCCATGATGACATGTTCTCCCTCAAGGAAAAGAACTTGGAACCAAATCAGTTCACTTCTCTGAGCCTTGGTGTCCGCATCTATAAAATGGGATTGCTTCCTGCCCTGCCTGCCCTCTGTGGGCAGACTGGACACAAGCAGAGGACACATAGCTCTGAGCGGGGGCGTCAGGGGAGGCAATGTGGATGGAATGCTGGGACTTGGAACTGCAAACTTGGCTTTGGGACGCCAGCTCACGAGGAAGCATGTTAGGTTTTGCAAGCAGTCTTACGACGCAGCTGGGATCAAGGAAGGCTTTTCTGGCAGTTTTCAGGGTGACGGGGAGAGGGGGAAGTGAAGCCCCCTGTAGAAGGGAACTTACAGGGGAAGCTGTTGGGGGTGGTCTCGGGTCGGGGTGGTCGGGCTGGCCGTCGGGATGCGGATCCACTCTGAGGCACAGCCGAGGAAGGCCTGGCCATCACCAGAACAGCATTCAAACACAGGTCTGTCTAGAAGATGAGCTCCACAAGGGCAGGACTTTATTTTGATTAATGCAATATCCACAGGCAGACCGAGGGGGAGCTCATTAAATATTTAGGGAATAAATAGGTTGAGTGTAAGTGGAGAAGCAAAGGAATCAAAGTGACCCCAGCATTTCAAAACTTCTCCCCGAAATGAAAAAGTTGGTGGTATTGCTAGCCCAGAAGAAGAAGATGCCAGCTAATACTCAAGGTATTTAGCTGGATAAAAGGCCCAGCCCAGCATAACTACTCACGCTGGTAGCTGCAGCAGGGACTGGGGTGGCGGGAGGCCCGCCCCGTGACTAACAGGGCTTGGGTTCCCGTACCACCTTGCATTGTAACCTGGCTGTCCCAGATGAGATCATCTTCCGGGATGTGGATTGTCACCTCCACCTGAAGGATAAAGAAGCAGCAGTTTGTCCAAGCCTCTCAGTGAAAGAACTCTGAGGCTGGATCCTGTCCTTGGGCTCCTAGTCCAGTGCTCCTCATACCGCAGCAGAGATCAGAGTTTGTAAAGGGACTAACGTTTCCCAAATACCTACGAAGTACCAGATACAGAGACAGGCACTTTGCATATGTTCTTTCATTTCCTTTATATGTCAATTAAAAACATTAAATACAGCCCCATTTTACAGTTGGTAAAGTGGAGGTTCAGAGAGCAGCTTGCAGCCCTGGAGCCAGACAGGCTGGGGTCGGATTACCACTTGGAAGCTGGGTGCCCTTTCAAAGCCTCTGGTCTGTAAAATGGGTATTACGGTAGTAACCATGTCCTGGGACTGTCCCAAGTATTGACTGAGAAAGTATATGGAAAGCGGTTAACATACTGCTTTACCCATTAGCAATAATCACAAGATTGCTTTTACAGGACTGGTGAAGGTCACATAATTAATGAGTAGTGGGGTTGGCATCCAGACCCCAGTCTGACTCCCTGGCCTTCCACTCCAGCCGGCTGACTCCCCGTAGAGCTAGGTCTGGTTTCCCAGGCTCAGCTAGGAACCGGCAGCTGGGCCCTCCCAGCCAGGTTTGGAAGAGGGCTGGTCTTTAGGGACGTCCCACTGGTTCCTCACATCCGTTTGCTTGCAGATACAATGAAGTCAAGAAGAAGATGGATCCTGGCTTCCCCAAGCTCATCGCCGATGCCTGGAATGCCATCCCCGATAACCTGGACGCCGTAGTGGACCTGCAGGGTGGTGGTGAGCTGCCCAGGCCCCTGTCCGCTTTCTAGGACATGCCTCCGCACCCCCAGCCAGGGCCCAGCTCCTCCGAAGCACACACTCCCTCATTGTGCAGGGAGGCAGGCGGCGCTCGGGGGGGATAACAAACCAGCCCCTTCAACCCAGTGCTGGGAAGGCATCCAGACCCCTGACCTCCGCTCACTTAGCCGGCTCCAGGCAGTAAGACCCAGAAAGGCCCCTCACAGCTGCAGGGCCTGGGGCCAGGGAAGGGGAGGGCAGGAGGCCTGCTGGAACAAGAAACATGGGCTCTGTGCCCTGGATTCATTCTGGGGTTTGGTCCAGGCCCTTTCAGGTTCCACAGGAGGCCTGTGACTGCCTCCCATTAGCAGAAGGATGGCTCCATATGAGACAGGACAGACTTTGTCATGCCCTGTTGCTGATGTGGCAAAGATCTCCCACTCACTTCCATTCACCCCTGATCCCTCGCTGAATAAAATACAACCAGTATCGGCAAGGGATAGCATTTGGAGTTTGCAAAACATGTTCCTGAGGTTTCTGTGAGGTCTGCAGGGGCCTGGAAAGGAGTCCAGTTTGGCTTTTTTTAGAAGAGGTTGCAATTAAGTTCCAGAAAGATTTCTTTTGAGCCCCTATCCTGTGCAAATCACATGGCCCTAACCTCCCATCATGAAAGGTCTCACATGTCCAAGAAAGAGCTGTGTATAATCTAGGGGGGCTAGGTTAAGGATTATCTTCAAGAATAAGCATCTAGGGAGCACCTGCTATGTGCTGGAATTTTCAAGGAAATAAATGAGGTCATGTATGTCAGGAGTCACACAGTTTAAGGCCCATAGGGGCCAGGCCAATAGCGCAGATGAGTGTGGCAGGCAAGGCAGACAGGAGGGAGGGGTGAGGTCTGTGGTGAACCAGAATGCACACGGCTTATTTATAATCATCTGCTTCTCATGGTTGCTGCAAGAATGGGGGCCCCGAGCCGTTAGATATCCTGGCTGTTTTAAAAGGAAGTGAGAAATGTATATTTTCGCGTGAAATTTCCAGATGTTTATATGCTGGCAACTTACTCAGAATTCAGAACAAAACAAAACAAAACACTTGTGTGAGCCAAATCAAAGCCATCTGTAGGTCTGACAGGGCCAGAAGCCTGTTTTGCCACCTCTGGTCTGTGGGAAATGCTTCGTTTGTGCCCATGCTCAGTGGAGTGCTGTTATTTATATTAATAATAGCACATGTTATCTGATTTAATCCTCGCCACAAGCTCTAAGAGGTCGGTATCTTTATCCCCATCTCCAAGATGAAGAAACAGGGACTCGGGGAGCTTACTTCCCTAGCCATTCTCCTTCCTCTGGTCTCCAAGGAGTCTTCTCTGGTTGAAAAGCTTGTTCCGTATGGCAGTTGACTCTCAAAGCTCCCGGAACCTTCCATGTCTGTGGGTGGGATGATGATGACAGGCTCCCCCTTTTCTCATCCCAGGTCACAGCTACTTCTTCAAGGGCGCGTATTACCTGAAGTTGGAGAACCAAAGTCTGAAGAGTGTGAAATTCGGGAGCATCAAATCCGACTGGCTGGGCTGCTGAGCAGGCTTCGGCTCCCCCAGGCCCCGCCCCTCCATCGTCTTCTGCCTACCGAGCCCTGAGTGCCAGGGAAGGACCCGGATGGGCCTGGCAGCCTTCAGCTCTGTAGTTAATCGGCGTGCTCACCCCTCCCTGGTAATTTAAGGTTCTGGAGAGTGTCTGTGCCCTGTGCCCAAGGAACGGTGCTGATTGTACCCCTCCCAGCTGCCCTCAGCTCCCCACTCCGTATCCCACCAGCCCTCCAGAGCCACCCCCAAAGAGATGCTTTGATACTCTCAATGCAGCCCCTCCTTGGGCTGCCCTGGTGCTCCCACACTTCAGGCTCTCCCCCCGCCACGGCTTTCTGTGGCTTACAGTACCCTCAGAGCCAACAGACAGAGACTGTCTCAAGAGGGCACTAGTGGCCCGACAGCCCGGCCTGGCATGGGGCAGCGGGATAGGGGCATGGTCCCCTGGCCACCCCACACACCGGGCTTCTCACTGCTTCCTGCCTTAGGACGTCTCGTACCTTAGCGGTTCGCTTTGTGTGCACTTTGTTCTTTTCTTTCGATTTTTATTTTTCCACTTTGACATCGAGTTTCTTGACAGAAGGACTCAGGTTATCTGAAGTCACTCCACCATGCATCTCAGCCCACATCGGGATGGTTCTCTTGTTCACTCTATTTAGTACGCCCCTACCCCATCACTTCCTCCACTGGCTGGAGGAGAACCAAGCCATGGCTCCCCGCTCAGCCCCGCCCCCCTGCCCTTCAACAGTTCCCCATGGGAAATGTCAACGAGTATGAATAAAGACACTAATTGAGTGCAGTGCTTGTGGGCTGGTTTTTGCGGAGCCTAGAGAGGCGGAGGAAAACAACTTAAAAAGTTTAAATCTCTGCTCCCTCCGGGGGCTCAGGTGACATTTGCCACAAAGGTCAGAGCTGCCAAAATAAATAGCAAGAGACCCTCCAAGTGGGGGAGCTGAAGTCCCTCTGTCCCGTGGAAAGAGCCTTGAAATAGCGGTTCTGTCACTTTGCGGGCAGGGTCTCATTCAAGGCTCCCTTCCTTTTTGAGTCTCTGTTTCTTCACTGAAAACAACGCCAATTCTTTTTTTTTTTTTTTAAGATTTTATTTATTTATTTGACAGAGAGAGAGATAGTGAGAGCAGGAACACAAGCAGGGGGAGTGGGAGAGGGAGAAGCAGGCTTCCTGCTTAGCAGGGAGCCCGATGCGGGGCTCGATCCCAGGACCCTGGGATCATGACCTGAGCCGAAGGCAGACGCTTAACCGACTGAGCCACCCAGGCGCCCTAACAACGCCAGTTCTAATACCACTACTAAACAGTGTACAACAGTAACACATCCCCTCCTTTAATAGAGCGCTTAGTAGGTGCTAGGCACTTGACAACCATCACTTGGTTTAACCTTTACAACAACTTAAAGGGGGAAGCTTTGATCCCCTTCTATAGAGAAATCCTGGAGCTGCTGGATAACAAATTTAAGGCCTGGGATTATTTCAGGGGTCCCTTCTGGCTCTGATAAGACATTTCTTCAGGCCTCTCATGGTGGGGCTGGTGGGGAAGGGGACGAGGAGTAGACCGGACTGTCTGGAGGTGACCTTAGTGATTCGGGAGTCATCTTTTCTCCACCCTATGGCCTGCCCAATGGCTCAGGTCCTCGAGGGTCCTAAAGAAATAGACTTCGGGGCAAGTTTCTGGCTAAAGAGCCACACGGGACTGCCAGTCCCTACTTGAAGACCCCCGAGGCTTATATCATGCCTGTGATACACTATTATTAACCCGCTCTATTACACTGAGAACATTCAGCTGCTCCATGACATAACACCTGAAAGATGCTTTTTTTATGAACACTGCACATTTTTTAAAATTGTTACCACAACCCTATGGGGTAGAAATTAATCCTTCCCATTCTTAGATGAGAGTACAAGCTCGGAGAGGTTAAGTGAGGAGCTGCAAGCCACACATCTGTCTGGTGTGGTTGGAGGATTTTGAGATTCTGCAGTAGCTGAGTATGAGGCAGCCACTGTGCTAGGGCCCAGATTGATTCTCACCATGCCCTCCAGCTGGATGTGAGCAGTTGACCGGTAATTTTAAGTCATTCCCCATCTCCAGCCTCTTCTCAGCACTCAGGGCTTGACCAAATGTCCTCAGTGCCTATCTTCCCCAGCCCCCCCACCACCCATACAGGTCCAGATAGGCCCCTGAACTTCCTCAGGGTGAAATGGAGCCACAGCCCCAATCATTTCCCTTTTCGGGGCCAGGTTCCTCATCACGTGTGGAAGGCAATAGCTGTTTCTGCCTTTTTCTAATAACAGCATTGGGAAAGCTCAGTTTTCCTTTGGACAGCCATCTCCCAAGGTCAGTCCATGTTTTGAGGGGAAGATTCCACCCCAGGTACCAATCTCTCCCTTGTCAGGAATCTTTCAGCTGTAACTGACAAACCACCACCACATACAGGTTTAAGCAAAACCAAAACATACCAGATATCAAACGCATAAAACAAAACCCACCCTGGATATATTAACTCACTTCAGCGGAACAGCCTGGCAGTGGCTGGCCTGGGGTTCTGCTTATCTGAGTTCTATATATCCCCATTTTACAGAAGGGGCCAACTGAGGCTCATGGAGACACCGACTTAGCCAAGGTCAGCCACAAAGCCCGTAAAAGAGGTTGGTACTCCAGGTGGGCGTGACCCGCAAGCAGAGAACTCTGCCTAAACTGTCACTGGGGTGCCCTGCTCTGAGGGAGAAAGTCACCTCCAGGGGGAGGACCAAAGAGGAAAAGCCGATACCGAAAGGGGTGTGGCTAAGGCTCAGAGGGTGGAGCCAGAGCGGGGAGGGGGGGGCGTTTGGAGCCAGAGGGGCGGGGCGAGACCGGACGGTGTGTAGGTGACTCGCGCCTGCGCGAAAGCCCCAAGGCTGCGCCGCCGGCTGGGACTCTGGTGAAGCTCCCCCCAGGTCTCCGCGGGCGCTCGCTCCCGCGTTCCGCATCCGTCGCTGGATCCGGTCCGACGCCCGGCTGGGCCATGAGCCAGTGTGCGGAGGCGGCGGCGGTGGCGGCCACCGTGCCGGGCGCGGGCATGGGGAAATCCGGGCTGCGGCCACCCATGGTGCCCCGCCAGGCGTCCTTCTTCCCGCCGCCTGTCCCCAACCCCTTCGTGCAGCAGACGCGGATGGGCGCTGCGAGGCGTCTCCAGGTGAGGGCGCGGGCCCGAGAGAGGAGACGGAACCAGGGGAGGGGCGTGGGTCTGACGGTGGAAGCAGGTGCAGGTGAGGGATGTCGGACCCAGAGAGGAGGCAGATCCAGGGGAGGGGCGTGGATCTGACAGGGGAGGCGGAGCCAGGTGAGAGAGGTGAGAGATGTGGGTCTGAGAGAGGAGGCAGATCCAGGGGAGGGATGTGGGTCTGAGAGAGGAGGCAGATCCAGGAGAGGGACCAGGATCTGCCGGGGGCTGTTGTCTGAGGGGAGTGTGGGTATGATGGGGAGGTATCCCAGGTGGGGGGTGCCAGTCTGAGAAGCAAAGGCTCTGAGGAAGGAAGAGATGTCGATCTGCGAGGTGAGGGCTTTTGAAGGTCCCATGAGTCTGGAAGGGGCAGAGATGTGGGTATGAGAATTGAGGACACTTGGAGGGTGGTCTGAGGGTGTGTGAGAAGAGAAAATGCGAAGAACATGTGGATCTGAGGGGCAGGTCCTAAACAAGACAAAGCTGAGCAGGCCAGTAGCGGAGGAAACATTCCATGCTGAGAAGGGAGGTGAATCTGTGACAAGAGCTTCAAGTTGAGTTTGTTAGAGCGGAGGGGTGGCCAGTCTATAGGAGAGTGGACTTGGGGAAGTCTTTTTTTTTTCTTTATTTCTTTTTCTTTTGCCTTAGGGAAGGAGAGGAGTCAGTCTAGGAGGTGAAGAGTGAGGGAAAAGGCAGAGAACCCAGGTCTGGAATTAGAACAAGATGATCTAGCTGAGAAGGGGCATCAAGGGTCGGAAATCAGAATCTAAGAAAAGGGATAATGTGGGTCAGCTTAAGGTATTCAGAAGTCTTCACCCTGAATCAGTCCTGAATCAGTCTTCACTCAAACCCTTTGAGATTCAACACTTCTCCAAACTTTCTTCCACTGTTAAAAACCGCTGAATACAAAAAGGAAGTTTCCTTTTCTTTCCTTTTTCTTGTAAAACGCTCTTTTACCATTAGCAGTTACAACTTGCTCTGAGGACTTCCCCTTTGGTGAAGCTAGCGATCAAAGAACAAGATAGAGTGTGCACACTACATTTGTCCTGTGTGTCCTGCATGAAAGAAAAAAAAAAGGTTTTGATGTTTTCCTGTCCATCTCACACATTTCTTTACTTCAGATTTGAAATAGTGTTATTTTTGCATAGCGCACTTATATGCCCTGAGACCATTGTCCTCCACAGTGGAGAGGCAGGTTAGAGTAATGGTAAATGGGCAAATGGGTTGAAGAAGGGTGTGAGATAGGAAGAGGAAGATAATGTAGTAATACCTCTTTGTAAAGAAACTAAATATTTAAAAATTTGATCTTCATGTCTTTAAATGGATAGATGCTCCCTTTGTATCTTAAAACTTCTGAAACACTTCTAAATACCTTGACTATCACTCAAGATTAATTTTAGTTTGATTTGGTGAAATCAGTCATTCTTAAATGTAAGTATGTCTATTTGGCTTCATATTTTGGAGACAGGACCAAAGTGGCATATTTATAGAGAGACTAATTGTTGGTGTTGGTTTTCTTTTTTTTTTTTTTTAAGATTTATTTTTTATTTGCGAGAGAGAATGAGAGAGAGCACATGAGAGAGGGGAGGGTCAGAGGGAGAAGCAGACTCCCTGCCAAGCAGGGAGCCTGATGCGGGACTCGATCCAGGGACTCCAGGATCATGACCTGAGCCGAAGGCAGTCGCTTAACCAACTGAGCCACCCAGGCGCCCCTTTTTTTTTTTTTTATAACATGGCCTATTACTACTTGGAGAGCACTTTCAAATAGCTTTCCAAGAGCTGTAGTATAATGGAAAGATCATTAGTCTAGTCAGAAAGCCTGCTCAGGCCGTGCCCTTTATCAGTTAGTTGTATGACTTTGACCAAGTCACTTAACCTCTCTGAATTTCACTTTACTCATTTATTAAATTGGAATAGTCCTACATGAAGAAGGGTTAAAACTAAGTGAGATAATGTGTGAAAGAAACTGGATTGTTTGGTGATCTTAATATTGATAGTTATGCTATTTGTTGCCTACAAATCTTATACTGTACTTAAAATTTACTATTTGTATTGAATGGAATTCAATAGGTCTAGGTTTTTTCTTTTTTTTTTTTTTAACTAAAAATGTAGACCAAAGAGGTCTCAATGTCTTGAACAATCTGGGCAAAGGGAAGATTTAACAGACATGATTGAAAAACAGTATTGTCTGTATTATCAAGTTTAAAAGATGGATATACTTTCACTTAAGTATGACTTACTATGATCAATTCAGACTAAATTTAACCTTGAAAGTGATCAATATCTTGCTTAAGGACTGTTGTCACTTTTGTATCTCATTGTAGGACTTAGCTTTGCCCTTCCCCTTCTCTTTTTGACAATTTAAGGTCCTGCTACTTAGTGGCATGGAAACAAGTAGCCTAGCTTTCATTTCCTCAATAGAATATGGAATTGAAATAAGTGTTTGGTAGTAATTGTGCGTCATTTATCATACCAAAAGTATTTGTTGAATGTCTATTATGTACCAGGCACAAGGCTAATTTCTGGAGATACAGCAGTGAACAAGAGAAATAAGAACTCTGACTATCGAAAGCTTATGTTTCACTGAAAAAAGTTAGAGACAAGTACAAAATTATGCATTTCTGTGTTTTAGTAGTACTATGAAGAAGATCCAGGGAAGACAATAACCCTGAGAGAGTGTTGAAAGAAGGCCTCCCTACATAGATGATGTATTACCAAATGGAAATATGATGGGGAATCCTCTTATTTTGTCAAAGGGTTACTCAAAGTTGGTTTATTTACTGTTAAATACTATTATTTGTTGCAGACCTAGAAATGGCACAGAAAAAAAAGTTGCCCAATATTTGACAACTTAATTAAAATCCATATTAGCTACTCATTGTGAATGTGAGTTAGCTTATATGAATATACTATAACCTCGTTCTAACTCTATCTTTGGGGTCTATGCTATGGTCCTTTCTTGCAGTAAAGATTATTTCTAGGTCATTTGCAAGGGTGTTTGCAAGGCTTATTTGACCTACCTTGGAGGTTACCCACTGCAAACAGTCTTTTCTCCAGGGGTGTTTGTCAAAACAATCAGAGGCAATTGCTTAACATGACAGCTACCTGAGGTGGTGAATACTGATTGGAGCAAACAATAGGCTTACCCAAACAGCTTGAAGTTAGGGAATGAGATGCCTATAGGGGACTTCGAAAAGCTTTGACATATTCATGGGAATCTAGAAGGGTATCCACATGTATAGGCCTGTGTGTATACCCAGGGCTATGCATGTGACCTGAAAAACAACAACAACAACAAATGAGAATACCCTAAGCTCTCACCTCTAGCTAACCATCAGGCTCTGTACAAACTGGAGGTAAAAGCTAAGGTAGAGTTGTGAACTTCCACTTGGCTGTGTGTTGAAGGTGTGTTCCAACATGCAAACAAAGACTCTTTGCAAACACTGGGGAACTTATTGATTCCAAGCACTTAAGGAAGTCTTATCTAATCATTAGCTGACTACCAAACTAATTGGTCAGAGACTTCAGTAACCACACATGACACATGACAAAGAATACAGCCTTTATAGAATTAGTTCGTAATAGTCACTGAACAAACAAATAACAACAACAAACAGCAACAACAATACACCCTGGTGATGGAAGAGAATCTGATTTTCAGAGTTGTTACATTATTTAAAATGTTTGCTTTTCAACAGAAAAAATTGCAAAATGATAATAACAAACAATAAAGTATGTCCCATAAATAGGAAAAATAGCAGTCAATACAAATTATCTCCAAGGAAGCCCAGATGTTGGCCTACTCTCCAAAAACTTTAAATCAGGTATTTTAAATATGTTCACATAACTAGAGGAAACCGTGTCAAAAGAACTAAAGGAAAATATGAGACAGTGAATCACCAAAGAGAGATTATTAGTAGAATAGAAATTATTAAAGAAGTACAATAGCTGAAATGAAAAATTCACTAGAGGGACTCAACAGCAGACTTGAGCAAACAGAAGAATCAGCAAATTTAAAGATAGATCCATTGAGATTAATTAATCTGAGGAACAGAAAGAAAAAAGGATGAAGAGAAGTGAACAGAATCTCAGAGACCTGTAGAGCATTATCAGGTGTATCAACATAAACATAATGGGAGCCACAGAAGGAGGCAAAGAATGTTTGAAGAAAAAATGGCTGAAAACTTGCCAAATTTGGTGAAAAATTTATGCATTCAAAAAGTTTAATGACTTCTAAGTATAATAAACTCAAAGATATCCATACCTATATACATCATAATCCAACTGTTAGAAGGCAAAGAAAAAGAGAGAATCTTGAAAGCAGAGAGAAGTAACTCATCATACACAAAGGGATCCCGAATAAGATTAATGTCTGATTGCTCATCAGGAACTATGGAGGCTAGAAGGCAATAGGATGATATACTCAAAGTGCTGAAAGTAGAATATTGTCAACCAGGATTAATATAGTCAGAAAAACTATCTTTCAAAAATAGAGGAGAGGGGTGCCTGGGTGGCTCAGTCGGTTAAGCGTCTGCCTTCGGCTCAGGTCATGATCCCAGGGTCCTGGGATTGAGCCCCGCCATCAGGCTCCCTGCTCAGCAGGGAGCCTGATTCTCCCTCTCCCTCTGCTGCTCCCCTTGCTTGTGCTCTCTCACTCTCTCTCTCTCTCTGTCAAATAAATAAATAAAATCTTTAAAAAAAGAGAGAGAGAAGAGAAATTAACAGAAACTGAGAGAATTTGTCACTAGTATACATGCCCTGAAAGACATACTACAGGGAGCCCTTTGGTTGAAATGACGCTAGAGAGTAACTCCAATCCACATGAAGAAATAAAAATACTGGTAAAGATAACTACATGTATAAATATAAAAGACAATATAAATATAATTTTTATTTGTAAATCTTTTTGTCTTCTATGTGATTTAAAAGACAACTACATAGGGGCACCTAGGTGGCTCAGTCAGGTAAGCATC